GCACTCTCAGGAACTCACATGCTTTGGAAACAGAGTCAATGTTTTCTTTTTTATCTTGTAGTTTGAAAATGACTCCTTCTGGAATTAACCATCTGTAGACAATGCTGTTTGTTTGAAGAAAAAGGATTAAATCTTTATATTTCTTTCTCTTTTGTCTTATTTCAAATGGCATGTCCTTTAAAATCCTGATGGTGTTGTCCCCAATTGAAACCATAGGACCAAATTTGCTTTTTCCATTTGCAGCTGTAAAAGTTGTGATTTTTCTAAGGCTTGTTTCTTTTCCAGCTTTTGCACCTTTTTCTTGACTTTTTTGGCGTTGGCGTCCATTTCCTTCACCTTCGCAGCCGTTTGCTCCATTATTTTTAAAGTCTCAGTCAGTTGGAGCTGCTGAGTTGCAAGATTCTGGTTTAGATTCGTCAACTGTTGTTCTATGTTAGTCATCTGGTCCAGCAGAGGGCACAAGGACTCTGCCAACATTTTGGAGAGCTTGGTGGTCTCTTCCGGTCAAGGGCTCAAGATTCTGGCTGGTTTCACAATTACTGGTTTGTCTTTCTCTGCCCTTTTCCCCGCCATCTTTATGGATTGTTTACCTTTATGAAAACTTGCTAAAGTCTCTGAAATATGTCCACATGCTTATCCGCGCTCTGGTAAGTCTCTCAAAACAGATTTCAATACTTTTTCTTCTGCTCCCTCCTTTTTTCGCCGTTCCCGGGGGTAGCTTTCTTTTTAAATTCTCGTTTCGCTTTAACCCAACTCACAGTTCATTGTTGGTCATACGACCTCGCTTGGCATATGTTCAAAACGCTCGATCTCTGATGCTTGTCCCAGTCAGCGGCTCTAGATCCATTCGGACACTCAGCGGCAGAACCGTCGGGGCGGAGGAGCGCCTCAATTCCCCAGCATCGTGCTGGCGAAGAGGCCACCCCTCAAAAGCCCCATGGCTAGGAGCCTTTTGTCAAGGCTCCGGGGGGGGGTAGAGACCCGTCGCCCCCCTCCTTTCCGCTGGTGCGCAGATCACATTCCCGGGAGGTCCAGGAGATGCGTCCGCCAGGATGTCGCCATAAACCGGCAAATTCTGTCTAATTTCCAAGGAGTATATATAAGCACACAAAAATAACTTTGTTGAATCAGACCAAAGTCAATGTAGTCTAGCCTTGGAATCTTTCATGGATTATTAATAAATAATTATTAGAGCCAGTTTGGTGTAGTGGTTAAGTGTGCGGACTCTAATCTGGGAGAACCGGGTTTGATTCCCCACTCCTCCACTTGCACCTGCTGATGTGACCTTGGGTCAGTCACAAGCTCTGGCACAGCTGTCCTTGAAAAAGAGCAGTTTCTGTCAGAGTTCTCTCAGCCCCACCCACCTCACAGGGTGTCTGTAGTGGGGAGGGGAAGAGAAAGGAGTTTGTAAGCCATTCTGAGACTCCAAGTGAAGGGCGGGGTATAAATCCAATCTCTTATTATTATTAATAAATGTCTTCCATTTCTAATGATCATAGTGATTTGCCTTGTGGGATTAGCTACTTGGTGAAGTTCTTTGTTTGCAAAGTGATTACTAAATCCAAGCCTGCAGTTTTGTTTTAATAGCAGATCCTAATTAGTGTACATGTGTGTTCAAGAGCATTGTATATTTGTTATTGAATTATTCCTTATCTTCCATCTCTTTGTCATTGAGGTCAGGCTGGTCAGAAACACTTCTGTTTCCATTGAAATTTTTTTGAAGGAACTGCTTTCATGTGTGTGAGTTTTAAAGCATACACTGGAGTCCTGTAGATCAAGCCAATGCTAAAATCTCATTTAATTAGCAAGATTGGCATTTGCTGATGTGTGAGATTTCTAGTTTATAGCTTGAAATATTTTTTACCAAAACAATTTTAGCAGGAGAGACTGCTGCATCCTTAAAAAGTCAGCCACGAAATTCCAGACAGTTGCTGCGGCTTGTATGTGTTCTTCTAGCATCACTTGGGTTACCAGCTGGATCTTCTTTCACTTTGCCAAATTGCACCTCCTAATTGCATTTCTTTGCCAGATTACTTTATGAATGAAAACCATTTGGCTTGGTTTCTGCTTTAAAAAAATATTTTTTTTTCAGTTGTCATTTTGTAGACAGAGTAACACCTTTGAAAGGTTTTGTTTTCCTTAAAAAATATGATGTGTTAAAAGGAACATATTTCATTAGGAAACTACTTATTTATTGCATTTTTTATCCCGAACTACTTCTAGTGAGCTCACAATGGTATACAAAGTTCTTTTCTTTTCCACTATATCCTCACAGCAACTCTGCAAGACTGGGCTGAGAGACAGTGACTGATCTAATGTCCCCTTTCGAGCTCCATGGTGGAGTGGGGATTTCAGCCTGGGTTTCCTGTTAGGGTGGCCACCTCTGGGTTGGGAAATACCTGGAGATTTTGGGGGGTGAAGCCCGAGGAGAGTGGGGTTTGGGGAGGGGAGGGACTTCAGTGGAATATAATGCCATAGAGTCCACCTTCCAAAGTGGCCATTTTATTCAGGTGACCTAATCTCTGTCGCCTGGAGATCATGTATAATCCCATGAGATCTCCAGCTACTGCCTAGTTATCAAGAACACATTTCTGGAAAACATACCATCAGCAATCTATGTGGGGCATAGCACCGCAATAGCCCATAGGCCTAGATGGAGATTCATATCATTTGCATCCCTGTGTAGGGCCATCAAGATAGGGATAGGGTTTGCAACCTCCTGGAGATCTCCCAGAATTTCAGTTGCTCTCCAGAGTACAGAGACTGGTTCATCTAGAGAAAATGGCTGGACTCTATTGTATTATACCCCACTGAGGTCCCTCCTCAAACACTGCCCTCCCCCGGCTCCTCCCCCAAAATCTCCAGGAATTTCCCAACCCAGAGCTGGCAACCCTTGATGGTGGCAAAATTTTGTGGGTTTAGAAATCCAGACAAGGCACCACCAGTGAGCAGCTGTAAATTCAGTGGCCTCTTTATTGAGGGGAACAGAAGGAGGAGGTGTGACCTTGGACCAGTCACTTTCAGACTAACCTATCTCACAGGGTAGTTGTGAAGATAAATGGGGAGGGGAATGCTACCTATGCTGCCCTGATCTGTATGGGGGTAGGGAGATTAGTGTGAGAAATGGAATGGGAAAATAATTGATGGTGCACATGGAGATAAGCAATTACTAGCCTATTCTTACTGACAGAGGGTCATTTGATGTTTCCACTGGCTCTGGGTGGTGTGAGTGAGAGTCGAGAAGGAACCTTTGAGGACCTGTGGCAGCTGTTGGCTGCCCTGTCTCCATATGCATCCAAGTGTGCATACCACCAGTTCAGTGAAACTCAGATAAACATCATGATCAGTTGTTCAGTATCCACATTGCCTATCTGCACAGACATTTTCACGTCACACAGTTCCCTTACTGGATTGGCACAATTGAAAATGGACTCATTTATTAACATCTCTCCCATAGTTCTTTAGAGCTCTTTCTTCATGATCTTAGGTCATCTTCTTCATGCTTCACCTGTAGGATGGGAATAACAATGCTTGCCTGTCCCACAAGGGGGTATTGATGCACTCTGGTATAGTGGTTAAGAGCAGCAGACTCTAATCTGGAGAACCAGGTTTGACTCCTCCACATGCAGCCAGCTGGGTGACCTTGGGTCAGTCACAGTTGTCAAAGAGCTGTTCTCTCAAGAGTAGTTCTCTCAGAGCTCTCTCAGCCCCACCTCACAGGGTGTCTGTTGGGGGCAAGGAAGGGGAGGAGATTGCAAACCGCTCTGAGACTCCGAGTGAAGAGCAGAGTATAAATCCAGTTATTATTATTATTTTATTTTTATTATTATTGGAGCCCCTCCCCAGGTACTGTGGGTTGGGTCCAAAGGTTCTCTTCTGCTAACATTGGAACCTCCCAATGACAGAACAGACCCTTTCCCACTGTAGTAGGGTTCTTTGTACCAGCAGAAGACATTACCTTTACTGGAATAGAAGTTTTGAATCCAGTCCCATACATATTTACTCTTCTTCCTCTTCTTATTATTATTCCTTTCTGAATTTTGGGCACAGTGGTTGGCTACCCAAATTTCATTCAACTGTATAAACTCTTATCATTTGTATTACCATTTCATATAGGGGAAACTTGTTATGAAAAATAATGATTTGCCATGGGCATGGTTAATAAAATAAAAACATACATGCACTTCTCAGTCTTAATTCACAATCAACTGGAACACATGGTGCAAACCTCAACAGAGTCACACCCTGGTAAACACATTGACTTTGATGGATTTAAAGGTAAAGGCTTCCCTTGCTCGAAAGCCAGTTGAATCTGACTCTAGGGGGCGGTGTTCATCTCCGTTTCCAAGCCAACGAGCCAGCGCTGTCCATAGACTTTTCCTTGGCCATGTGGCCGGCATGACTAAATGCTGAGGCGCATGGAATGCTGTTACCTTCCCACCGAAGTGGTACCTATTTATCTACTTGCCATTTCTTGCTTTCAAACTGCTAGGTTGGCAGGAGCTGGGGCCAGAGACGGGTGCTCACTCCGTCACATGGCACTAGGGTCTCGAACTGCCGAGCTACCAAACTTCTGGTCTGCAGCTTAGTGTCTTAACCTCTGAGCCACCGCGGTAAGGGTGTAAAACTGTTTAGAAGGGTGTAAATCTGTTTAGGATTGCACTGCTTGGTTGTAATCCAATGCACATTCGTTTGGGAGCCCCATAGAAATGTGAGACATATTTCTGAGCAAAAAACAGGATTAGGTTCTAATTCTCTCAAACTGAAAAGATAGTTGTGTTGTTTGAAGATGCTTCAGGATCTACAAACTTTGCTTTCAGAGTTGTGTGATTTGAAGAACGGTGTGTGGGAGTGCTTTCCTCCCCCCCTCTATTTTTCAGCTTACACTTCACTGCCAAGAAAAAGGCTTAATATCTTCTATTGAACTACATTTGCTGTCATGTTCATTCTTATAAACTAACAGAACTATCTTCTTCTTCCTCTCCTTCTTACTGATCTAGTTCCTAACATAAAAGATACTTCAGACCTCCCTATGCTGTCTATTGATATGGAAAACAAAGAAAATGGATCTTTCAACACTGAAAAGTAAGTTGTCTCCCATGTATAGTGATAAGCCATACAGTGAGAATGGGGTTTAGTTTTGTTTTTCTTGAAGCCAAGGAACTAGGAATGACACCAAAATTTGCAGCCCCACTATTTTGACTTGAAAATGTTTTCTTTTTGTTTTTTCTTTCTGTAGAATTGAACCCACCAGTCCTTATTTTCATGCCAATTTGATGTAACATAGTGTCACACTAGTATCTGGAGTCCTGTGTTCTAATCTTCATGCTTCCATGAAGCTTATTGGATGTCCTTGGTCCAGCCATTTTTTCTCAGCCTAATAGCATGGTTGTTGTGAGGGTAAGCAGGAAAAGGGACAACCCTATACACTACCCTGAGCTCCTTATATTAGATTTGGAATGCAGTTTTTCCCAGGTATTTTTAAGTAGGGGTGCCAGGTCCCCCTTGGCTATCGGATGGAGATGGGGGGGGTAGGGTTGCCAGTTAGGGAAACTTGGAGATTTGGGGGTGGAGCTTGAGGAGGACAGGGACTCCAGTGGGTTACAGTGCCATGGACTCCACCTTCCAAAGCCTCCATTGTCTCCAGGGGAATTGATCTCTGTCGTCTGGAGATCAGCTGTAATTCTGGGGGGTCCCCAGGTCTCATCTGGAGGATGGCATCCCTGTTTTGAAGCCACAGGAAAAAGTGTTTCCCCAGGGAAATAAAATGCAGAATGCTTGGGAAAAACTGAAATATATGCAATACTTTCTTATCAAGCAACATCAAATACATAATTTATAATGCAAGCATAAAAAATTACAGTATTTGGCATGGTTATGAAATTTAAAAGTATAAATGCCTTAGTTTTCTATAAACAGAATTGCAAATATGCCTGATCATAATGAGAGAGCTGTAAATTGCTGAACTCTTTGCTCCCTTAGCACATGTATCTTCAGAAGCAGGGGAAAAAAATAATATTGAAAATAGAAAGCATACATTTTGTAGGAAACGAAAGAAATCGTATTCCAGACAGTCACTATAAGACTAGCGGCATATTTGGCTACCAGATTAAGGTCTTTTTCACATTACCTTTCTAAACCAGATGTGATTCATCACTGGCCTGGTTCTGGGTAAAGCAATACAGGGATGGGGGTTTCACACAGTGAATTTCCTTCCATTAATGAGCTCTCTCTGAAGTGATTTGGTCATTTCAGACAGTGCTGCTTTCTTTTCCTTCCCTTTTCCACCCCCTGTTAAATACTGGGTTCCATGAATGAGCAGACCCCAAATCTAGTGATCAGCTCTACTTTATTTGTGATTTCAGCAAGAACAAGACTAAATTCCAAGGCCAAAGCCCTGTTTAAATAGCATGCAATTGCCACACCCAAACACACCCCACTCCCAACAATAGGCTATTTACATAACATTACTTCTTGATTGGTTACTTCCAGAGTCCTCGTGGGCTATTGTTCCAAGGCTCCAAGCTCAGCCAGTCTCTGGTAAAACAGTCCTGGGATGTTTCAGTCCCAACACATAACACCCCCTGAGTGCAATCTTCCCAGGCCATTTTTTTAAAGGTTCTAATGCATTCCATGTGCCTTGGCATCTAGTCATGCCGGCCACATGACCACGGAAATGTCTTCGGACAGTGCTGGCTCTTCGGCTTGGAAACGGAGATGAACACCGCAATCCTAGAGTCGGATTCGACTGGCTTTCGAGCAAGGGAAACCTTTACCTTTACCTAATGTTAGTGCTAAAACACTAAACAGATATAGCAGGTCAGTGTAATAGCAGTACCATAGAGATGCCTGGACTCTCAGCCCTGTTTGCAGTCCCCCCTCCCCAAGCCCCTTATTGCAGCTCAGTGATGCAAAGAAGAGGAGAAAATCCACTTTATCCCAAGGCGCAGCTCTCCCCAACAGTGCATTCCCATGTGGTGTGAAAGCTGTGCCTGTTGAATCCCTGTCTGTCCAGGAAGCTTTTAAAGGAAGGGAGAAGGGGAGAATCCTATTGGAAAAGTGGAGCTACATAATCCCAGTAATTGCAGTCTTGCGCTCCCCACCCCACCTATGCTGAGGCACTGAAAGGGTTAAGCCGAAAGAGGGTTATGCCTACTAGAGCAGCCCTAGACACTTGGGGAGGAAAGGGGTGGGGGGGAGAACCCCAAAGAGCTAAGTCCCTTCCTTTCCTTTTCCACCTTCTCCCTCCATTCCTTTCCCCCACCTTGGGATAAATCCACTTTAAATCCAAGTAAATAAGTCCAAAGCCTCAGCAGAGGCAGAGTGAAGAGCGCAAGACTGCAACAAAAATGGGTGAAATTAAAAGGCTTGGAATGACAAAACACAAAACCAAAGAGAAATTAAAAATAGTACAGTCGTCATGAGGAACGTTACTATCGCCTAAAGATGAGGCTTTCTTTAACGTCTTGGCTCTAGGGGGCAGAGTGGCCCAGAGAACAAAAATTTGTGCTTGAACCTGGACCCGAGAGGTGTGAGTTCACATTCCCCACTGTCCTTGAGGACAACAACATCTCTTAGTTTTAGGATTATTCGCTGTCTGTGCTTCCGAAATTTACTATAGCTGATGCAGATTTTTATGTGAATTGAAATTGGAAGCCTCAGTCACCATATATCCCAGATGGTTTACTTTTAGAGCCTAATTTATTTCTGCATGAATCGCTGTTTGGAATATGCCTCCTCATTGCAAGCAGGCAAACCCAGAGCTGTAATTCATGCAGAGATGCAACAAGTGGTCTCCTCTAGGAGCAGCAATTCTGCTACATTGAATGCAGAGAGCAAGAATATTGCATCATTAAAAGTCAATCACACTTGCTATTGAGGTGCTGCAGAACTATTTACTGCCAGCAGAGGGACAAGACTAGGACAATGAATCATGCAGACATGCAGCAGGCATACTCTTCTGTGGATGGATTCTTTAGATTCAACAAAAGTTTTATTAATAGTTATTTCTAGTGGCACACTATTTGGAAATTACTGCACTGTAGAAATCATAGTGGTCTGGCTCACTGGGTTATTATGATGGCCAATTAATACTGTGAGGAACCACCAGGGAAACCACCATATAGTTGATAAAAAATAGGTACTATTAGTCCGAAAATATACACTGTGTTTTTCAGACAGAGCATCATGACAAGGAGCAGGATAATTCAAGTGCATGACTCTTCCATGTTTTATGTAGACTAACATGAACATAAAGAAGTGCCAGCTATTCATCCAGTGACGCAAAGTGTGCAAGTTGCTATGGAGAAAGAGCTTTGAACAAATTCCTAGTACTGTTTTGGGATGCAACATAGCAACTCTGTATGTTCAGAGAAAAAGCACGTGGCATAGTCCTCCTCAGATGTGTCACTTTGGAATGCAGTGGAGGGGGAATAGTCATCTGCTTGGACAACTACCCCCATGTAGAAAAATCCCTGCAATTAGAGAACTAGCACATCAGTGAGACAGCTAAACCTAGAACCCTTTCTCCAATTTTTCTAATTTCCTGCAGATGGGTAGGTTTTGAGGCAGCAAAACATTAAAAGGGGTTCCTGGATTCCAAAGTAGTACATTCCCAGGAGGTAGATGTTTGTATTTCAAATATATGCATGCCACCATTCCAAAGTGAAATGTGTAGGTCAATCCCTCAGGTTCAGCCATTTCTAGGAGCTGAACCTCTGTTGTAATTTATTCTGATGAAGATACAGTTGGTGTAGCATCCTGTTTCTAGTAAAGGGAAAGTCATATAGGACCTTTCCGCACTTGGATCTCATCCCTGGTTTTATCAGAGTTCAACTAGCAACACAATACCTTGTATTAATCCCTGGTTATAACAGCATCCATTTATCCCGGGACAAGTGTGGGGCGAAACCGGGGTGACCTCAATGTAATGTGGAAACAAGAAATACCCCGAGATAATTACAGGGGCGAACTCGAATGTAGTTTAGAATGTAAAAATACCCTGAGATAATTAATAGGATGAACTTGCATGTAGTGTAGAATGTAAATTCAGGGACAGGGTTGAACCAGGATTTAAGGTCTAGTGCGGAAAGGACCATAGATTGAAGGAAACCTTTCTTCAAGCATCAATATAGGGGGCAGTCAATAGGTATAGAAATGCCCACATTTATATCCTGCTTTCACTTTTTAGCCTAAGGCCTCAGACATGGCCTCAAGCCAAGCAACATGATTAAAAGCTTTGCAAAAGGCCATCCATGTTGGTACTTCCTGAACTGTCTGTGGTAATCCATTCCATAATGCAGGGACAAGAAATAATAAAGAAATGTACTGGGGCAGACTACATCCCACCTGAGGAGGGGAGACTGAGAGGAGAACTGGCCACAACGAGTGCAGTTGGCACCAGGGTTGATAAAGGGAGAGGTGGCACTAACACGTACCAACAGTCCTGTACCACTGTACCGCTCCAGTCAGGAAGCATCTAAATAGCCAGAGGTCATTTGGGGGGGGATCGCAGGGGATCACAGTTCCCCCGGGTGAGGTACGGGGGCGGGGCACATGACGAAGCCCTGCCCCCTGCTTCCGGCCGCCCCGCTTCCAGCCCTCATTCAGCCAGGAGGAGGCAGGAGAAGAGGGAGGGTAAGTTGCTTCCTCCCTGCCTCTCCCTACCCCTGCCTGCCTGGGGCCAGGGAGGGCCTTCGCGGGGCTTCCTTGCACTCCCGCCGGCCTTGCAGGTCCACCGCCGGGCCCCTCATGTGGCTCGGCAGTGGAGCTGCAAGGCCGGTGGTGGCGGCCGGGACCGTTGGGGGTGGAGTGTGTGGCCTTATGACACACTTCCGGCGATGTCAGGGGGTGTGGCCTTATGACACACTCCTGGTGATGTCAGGGGGTGTGGCATATGCTAATGAGTTATGCTAATGAGTTCCCCTAGCTCTTTTTCTACGAAACGACCCCTGTAAATAGCCCTTTTAAAACAAAATCAAGTGGTGAATCACCAGCCCTTTGCCCTCAGAACAACGTTCCTCCATTTTGTTAACTTTTAGAGAATGTATTAGGGTGGGTTTTTAGAGTGTGTTCTGCATTTTTTT